AGCACCCCCCCTAAATAATTCACCCAGCCACATCGTCCCCTACACGCCCCTATCTCCAACATTCTTAGGTGAGAGCAGAAGTGACAGCCCCGCCACCGGCAGGCCCCCCAGGCCCCGCAGCAGCCCCCTGCCAAGACCACGCACGAGGCGGCTCGCTCTGCCTCCAGGCCCCAGACTCCGGGCGGCAGCTGAGGAACAGGGGTGTGAGAAGACCCTGATCCTCCCTGCACCTGCTGGAATGTGGTTTCATTAAAACTGGGAGTACCAAAAGGGGGTGTCCAGCACAGTCCACCCCCCCTACGGGAGATAGGCGGTGCCAGCTCAACCAAAGGACTGGGGTGCTTACTGCACTCCCAGGGAGCCAGCTCCCTCGCTGACTCTGTCTTCATTTTCAATCGTCATGCCTCACCCATCACTCCTAACCCGTCATCTCTCACCCGTCACGCCTCACCCATCATGCCTGACCCGTCATCTCTCACCCGTCATGTCTCACCCATCATGCCTCACCCATCACGCCTAACCCGTCATGCCTCACCCATCACGCCTCACCCATCATGCCTCACCCATCACGCCTCACCCATCCCGCCTCACTCGTCATGCCTCACGCATCATGCCTGACCCGTCATCTCTCACCCGTCATGTCTCACCCATCATGCCTCACCCATCACTCCTAACCCGTCATCTCTCACCCGTCACGCTTCACCCATCACTCCTGACCCATCATGCCTCACCTGTCATGCCTCACCCATCCCGCCTCACCCGTCATGCCTCACCCATCACGCCTAACCCGTCATCTCTCACCCATCACGCCTCACCCATCACTCCTAACCCGTCATCTCTCACCCGTCACGCTTCACCCATCACTCCTGACCCATCATGCCTCACCTGTCATGCCTCACCCATCCCGCCTCACCCATCATGCCTCACCCATCACTCCTAACCCGTCATCTCTCACCCGTCACGCTTCACCCATCACTCCTGACCCATCATGCCTCACCTGTCATGCCTCACCCATCCCGCCTCACCCGTCATCTCTCACCCATCACGCCTCACCCATCACACCTCACCCGTCATGCCTCACCCATCCTGCCTCACCCGTCATGCCTCACCCATCACGCCTAACCGTCATCTCTCACCCATCACGCTTCACCCATCACTCCTGACCCGTCATGCCTCACCCATCACACCTAACCCGTTGTGCCTCACCCATCATGCCTCACCCATCACGCCTCACCCATCACTCCTGACCCATCATGCCTCACCCATCATGCCTCACCCATCACGCCTCACCCATCACGCCTCACCCATCACTCCTGACCCATCATGCCTCACCCATCACGCCTCACCCATCACACCTAACCCATCATGCCTCACCCATCACGCCTCACCCATCACTCCTGACCCATCATGCCTCACCCATCACGCCTCACCCATCACACCTAACCCATCATGCCTCACCCATCACGCCTCACCCATCACGCCTCACCCATCACTCCTGACCCATCATGCCTCACCCATCATGCCTCACCCATCACTCCTGACCCATCATGCCTCACTTGTCATGCGTCACCCATCACGCCTCACCCATCCCGCCTCACCCGTCATGCCTCACCCATCACACCTAACCCGTCATGCCTCACCCATCACGCCTCACCCATCCCGCCTCACCCATCACTCCTGACCCATCATGCCTCACCCATCATGCCTCACCCATCACGCCTCACCCATCACAACTAACCCGTCATGCCTCACCCATCCCGCCTCACCCGTCATGCCTCACCCATCAGCCCTAACCCGTCATGCCTCACCCATCCCGCCTCACCCATCACGCCTCACCCATCACAACTAACCCGTCATGCCTCACCCATCCCGCCTCACCTGTCATGCTTCACCCATCAGCCCTAACCCGTCATGCCTCACCCATCCCGCCTCACCCATCACGCCTCACCCATCACAACTAACCCATCATGCCTCACCCATCCCGCCTCACCCGTCATGCCTCACCCATCAGCCCTAACCCGTCATGCCTCACCCATCCCGCCTCACCCGTCATGCTTCACCCATCAGCCCTAACCCGTCATGCCTCACCCATCCCGCCTCACCCGTCATGCCTCACCCATCACGCCTAACCCATCACTTCTAACCCGTCATGCCTCACCCATCACGCCTCACCCATCACGCCTCACCCATCACTCCTCACCCATCATGCCTTACCCATCACGCCTCACCCATCACACCTAACACGTCATGCCTCACCCATCATGCCTCACCCATCACGCCTCACCCATCACACCTAACCCGTCACTCCTGACCCATCATGCCTCACCTGTCATGCCTCACCCATCATGCCTCACCCATCATGCCTCACCCATCACGCCTAACCCATCATCTCTCACCCATCACGCCTCACCCATCACACCTAACCCGTCACTCCTGACCCATCATGCCTCACCTGTCATGCCTCACCCATCATGCCTAACCCATCATCTCTCACCCGTCATGCCTCACCCATCACGCCTAACCCATCATCACTCACCCATCACGCCTCACCCATCACACCTAACCCGTCACTCCTGACCCATCATGCCTCACCTGTCATGCCTCACCCATCATGCCTCACCCATCATGCCTCACCCATCACAACTAACCCATCATGCCTCACCCATCCCGCCTCACCCGTCATGCCTCACCCATCAGCCCTAACCCGTCATGCCTCACCCATCCCGCCTCACCCATCACGCCTCACCCATCACAACTAACCCGTCATGCCTCACCCATCCCGCCTCACCCGTCATGCTTCACCCATCAGCCCTAACCCGTCATGCCTCACCCATCCCGCCTCACCCGTCACGCCTCACCCATCACAACTAACCCATCATGCCTCACCCATCCCGCCTCACCCGTCATGCCTCACCCATCAGCCCTAACCCGTCATGCCTCACCCATCCCGCCTCACCCGTCATGCTTCACCCATCAGCCCTAACCCATCACGCCTCACCCATCACGCCTCACCCGTCATGCCTCACCCATCACACCTAACCCGTCATGCCTCACCCATCACTCCTGACCCGTCATGCCTCACCCATCACGCCTCACCCATCACACCTAACCCGTCATGCCTCACCCATCACGCCTCACCCATCACGCCTCACCCATCACTCCTGACCCATCATGCCTCACCCATCATGCCTCACCCATCACTCCTGACCCATCATGCCTCACTTGTCATGCGTCACCCATCACGCCTCACCCATCCCGCCTCACCCGTCATGCCTCACCCATCACACCTAACCCGTCATGCCTCACCCATCACGCCTCACCCATCCCGCCTCACCCATCACTCCTGACCCATCATGCCTCACCTGTCATGCCTCACCCATCATGCCTCACCCATCACGCCTCACCCATCACAACTAACCCGTCATGCCTCACCCATCCCGTCTCACCCATCATGCCTCACCCATCAGCCCTAACCCGTCATGCCTCACCCATCCCGCCTCACCCATCACGCCTCACCCATCACAACTAACCCGTCATGCCTCACCCATCCCGCCTCACCCGTCATGCTTCACCCATCAGCCCTAACCCGTCATGCCTCACCCATCCCGCCTCACCCATCACGCCTCACCCATCACAACTAACCCATCATGCCTCACCCATCCCACCTCACCCGTCATGCCTCACCCATCAGCCCTAACCCGTCATGCCTCACCCATCCCGCCTCACCCGTCATGCTTCACCCATCAGCCCTAACCCGTCATGCCTCACCCATCCCGCCTCACCCGCCATGCCTCACCCATCACGCCTAACCCGTCATGCCTCACCCATCCCGCCTCACCCGTCATGCTTCACCCATCAGCCCTAACCCGTCATGCCTCACCCATCACGCCTAACCCATCATGCCTCACCCATCACGCCTAACCCATCACACCTAACCCGTCATGCCTCACCCATCACGCCTCACCCATCACGCCTCACCCATCACTCCTCACCCATCATGCCTCACCCATCACGCCTCACCCATCACGCCTCACCCATCACACCTAACACGTCATGCCTCACCCATCATGCCTCACCCATCACTCCTGACCCATCATGCCTCACCCGTCATGCCTCACCCATCACGCCTCACCCATCACGCCTCACCCATCACACCTAACCCGTCATGCCTCACCCATCACTCCTCACCCATCACTCCTAACCCATCATGCCTTACCCATCATGCCTCACCCATCACCCGTCATGCCTCACCCATCACACCTAACCCGTCATGCCTCACCCATCACACCTAACCCGTCATGCCTCACCCATCACGCCTCACCCATCACGCCTCACCCATCACACCTAACCCGTCATGCCTCACCCATCACGCCTCACCCATCACACCTCACCCATCACTCCTAACCCATCACGCCTCACCCATCATGCCTCACCCATCATGCCTCACCCATCACGCCTCACCCGTCATGCCTCACCCATCACACCTAACCCGTCATGCCTCACCGATCACACCTAACCCGTCATGCCTCACCCATCACGCCTCACCCATCACACCTCACCCATCACTCCTAACCCATCATGCCTCACCCATCACGCCTCACCCATCATGCCTCACCCATCATGCCTCACCCATCATGCCTCACCCATCACACCTAACCCGTCATGCCTCACCCAGCATGCTTCACCCATCACTGCTGACCCATCATGCCTCACCCATCACGCCTCACCCGTCATGCCTCACCCATCATGCCTCACCCGTCCAGCCTCACCTGCCTGTAAGGAGTTTTCAGACTCGTGTGAGACGCTGTGCTGTGTGCGTGGGGGTGGGGGGAGTCGCAGTGTGCACGCTCTCTGCTCAGGATGCCAACTCTGCCTCAGCACTGCAATGCAGCGCTGTGCATTCGGCCAAGTCATGCCTCACACACTCACACATGCAGTGATCAGTGTGTGAGACGACACGTGTGGGTGGGTGGGTTGCTAGTGGGTGGGGGGGTTCTCCCTCTATGATTGTCAACCTTGCAGTGTTTTGGTCCCTGCAGCGATGAGCTGTGGTGTCTCTCCCCCCTCTCACCCTCTGCAGGGCAGTTAGCCGCATTAGCTCCCTGCTTGTCCTCAGATGACTCCCCCTCCCTCTACCTCCCCTTCTGTGACACACCAGACGATGCACTGACTGAACGAGGAGAAGAAGAAACCTCTCCCAGCGAGCCATCCCGCCTGCTGCATTGAGAAGGAAAGGAGGAAGAGGAGCAGAAGGAGGTGAGGAGGAGTCTGCCATCCATCGTCTGCTGTCTGTTGGTCTTTTAACTCCTCTGTCTCTGTTTACATTGTTTTCTCTCTGCAGCCTGTCTGCCTGTCTCTCTGCTGGACTATGACAACACTGAATGTAACTCTCTGGGAACCATCCAGTGTGGCTCATAACTGCAGGGGGCTATAGGAGAGTCTGCTGGACATCAGGACACTGTAGCGGACCCTGAAGTGGACAGTGAGGGAGAAACGCCCAGCCAGCCAGGTAGGTCCCCTTAGTTTCCACAACAAAGTGCTGTTGGGTTGAGATGCATCATTCTGGCAGGAAGGGAGCCTGCAGAGCCTCTCCTGGAACACCCATAGATCAGAGTATTCAGATTAATGCTAACTTTTAGCACCAGGGGGCTCACCAAGACAAAACATAATGATGCCAGAAGAATAGAACTATTTATATCTTCTACAGAAGGGGGGGGGGGGGTAGATTCCTTCGTGATGGTGGCCTTAGATCACTTCATCCCACAAATGGACCCAGTGTCTACCAGAGCAATGTCCGGTTAGTAGAACCTCATCAGTGTTTGGTCTGGATCTGGAAGTCCCACAGGACCTTATCTTCATCATAGTCGCTCATGGTGATGTATCCCACCCTGACCTGAGGATGTACCACCAATGCACAGATTTTAGGCCATTCTTCCAGGTGCTCCCTGTAATTGTTACCTGCCACCACTTGGACCACAGCTGTTACCTGCTGTTTCAGGCCAATCTTTGCACAGCTTGTCTCTGGGCTCCTGTCTGGAGGGTAGACCCTGACACCTTTTGCTTTTGTGCTCTTATTAGAGCCTCTTTCGTGTCCTTCAGAGTTTCTCTAGTTTTTTTTCCACAAAGCTGGTTTGTCCTGGTCTGAGGGGATGGATATTGTTGCTGCCTCTAAAGTTTTAAGAAGTGCTGCAGTTATTTATCACCTACATGAAACATCAGCCTTTGTGCTCACTGATTCACCAAAGCAAGGACATCATGATGCCATTCTGACAGGATAAGAGGGGCTAAAAGATGGGGAACCACCAGAAGCTAAAAGATTGCAAGGGATAGCACAGGAGAACCTAATCTCCACAACAACTTGGCATTTACTGAGAAAGGTAGGTCCTTTGAAGCCAGCTGAAGGGTAGCCAAAGTTTCAGCAACATCTCACCGACCTGCTGATACAGCAGCCCGGCCAGAGCAGGAGATCGAGACAAAGATGTCCAGACAAAGAGCCTAATAGTAGGGGGGGGTTAGAGGACAGGAAAGGGTTGAGGTCAGTACCCAGAACACATCTGCAAAGAAGAGCAGTAACTACAAGAAGAGAACCAGGATGAATCCTCATGGAGAGACACTTCTCCAAGGTCCATTTAGACAGGAGCTGATACCAAGAAGTGCAAAAAGTCCTAGCATTGGCTAGAAAGGACCAGACTGAACCCAGAGACTTTAATCCAGGCAGAAGAGTAGACCTTAGCACAAGAACAATAGAGGATAGGGTCTACCAGACCATATGAGCCAAGCTGAGCTAGCAGGGCCTATGACAGGTACAGGTAGGGGGGAGTCACAACCAACCAAAATGTGAGCAAACTATGATATCAACATCCCACAGTCAAAGTTTTAGACACTCGAACTGTTTGAGGAAAATAACAGCTAAGGTCCTGTTAGACAATAGCCTCGAGAGCCAGACTGAATTAGACCTAGCGTACAGCGGTCTGGCTGACTCCGGTCCGATCAGGCCTGACCAATTCCAGCGCAGTAGGCGGGACTTTGAGATGCATCACTCTTAGAGCCAGAATTACCCATAACTCTTCTGCTAGCATGACAACTAGCTGGCAACCGCAATAGAGCAACGTTACCGTGAAAATTAAGAACGTAACAGAGAGCAGACCTTAAATCCTCAGATTTTTAGTGAAAACCAGCAGAAATGGTTCTCTGGATTCGACAGCTTGACATGTTTCATAGACTACAAACAAAAACAGAGCGCGTTGCATCCATAGTCACCTGATGACACCAACCCCTTTAGTCCCGCCTTTCAAATCAAGCTCTACCAGGTCTCTACCAGCCTGATAGGCCGTGTAGACATGGTATCCGTCTGGCTGGAGAGGCTAGTTAGACAGCAGCTGTCAGAATCCAGTTCTTCAGGGTCAGTGTTCTGCACCTGTTAGGTTCATCTCTGCTTTAACACACCGGAGTCCATTAGTTATTAGTCATATTATATCAGTCATTCCTTTGCAGCAGCCACCAAAGGCTGCAGGGCCTGATAGAGCACTTTGCTCTCAATCTGCAGGTTTACTAGTGGTTCCTAGAATTTGTAAAAGTAGAATGGGAGGCAGATCTTTTAGTTATCAGGCTCCTCTCCTGTGGAACCAACTACCAGTTTTAGTCCGTGAGGCAGACACCCTGTCTACTTTTAAGGCTAGGCTTAAAACTTTCCTTTTTGATAAAGCTTCTAGTTAGAGTGGCTCAGGTTATCCTGAGCTGTCTCTATAGTTCTGCTGCTATACGCTTAGACTGCTGGAGGACATAGGGACCCCTTTTTCATCATTCTGCTTCATTCTATCTCTATCATTTGAATTTGCTAATTTCTTTACTGAGAAAATCCTAAAGATCAGAGGATCAGTTTATACATCCATATCAAGTTCAGTACCAAAGTTGTCTCCAACTGGAATTGATCTTGACCAAATGTCCCAATTCAGCCAAATAAACTACAAAAGCTTAGAGGAAATCATTCAGCAGCTCAGTTCCTCCTCCTGCTGCCTTGATGTTCTACCCACAGCTTTCTTTAAGAAAGTTTTGCCTGTCATAGCGTCTGATTTGACTCAGATAATAAACACGTCCCTTCTGTCAGGTGTTTTCCCTAAAAACAGCAAATATCAAACCACTGCTGAAAAAGAACAGTTTAGACAAACTACTTCTCCAGAACTACAGGCCCATATCAAACCTCCCCTTTATCAGTAAGATTATTGAAAAAGCAGTGTTTCAACAGTTAAACACTTTCTTAGATATGACCAGCCGCTTTGACGTGTTCCAGTCAGGTTTCTCACCACAGTACAGAGACCGCCCTTATCAAGGTGTTTAATGACATCCGTATAAATACAGACTGCGGAAGAACCACAGTTCTGGTACTATTGGACCTCAGTGCAGCATTCGATACTGTAGATCACTCCATCCTGTTAGAGCGCCTGGAAAACTGGGTCGGCCTCTCTGGTACAGCTCTCAACTGGTTTAAATCCTACCTAAAGGACAGGGACTTTTTTGTGTCAGTAGGCAACTTTACATCAGAGATGACAGAAATCACATGTGGGGTTCCCCAAGGGTCCATCCTGGGTCCCCTCCTATTCAATATCTACATGCTCCCTCTGGCTCAGTTCATAAAAAACAACAACATCAGCTACCATAACTATGCAGACGACACACAGCTTTACATCACCATGTCACCAGGTGACTATGAACCAATTCAAGCACTGAGGAAATGCTTAGAAGAAATCAATGCCTGGATGTGCCATCATTTCCTACAACTGAATAAAAACCAAACTGAAGTAATAATCTTTGGACCAATAGAGGAGAGATCTAAAGTTAGCACACAGCTTCAGTCGCTTCAGCTAGTAACCACTGATCAGGCCCGAAGTCTAGGTGTAGTGCTGGATTCAGACTTGAACCTCCAAAAGCATTTAAAGACAATTACAAGGTGGGCTTTCTATCACCTGAAGAACATTTCCAGGATTAAAGGACTAATGTCTCAGCATGATCTGGAAAAACTAATCCATGCGTTTATTTTTAGTCGAATTGATTACTGCAACGGTGTTTTCACAGGTCTGCCTAAAAAGTGGATCAGACAGCTGCAGCTGATCCAGAACGCTGCTGCCCGTGTCCTCACTAAGACTAAGAAAGTAGAGCACATCACCCCAGTTCTAAAGTCCTTACACTGGCTCCCTGTATCTCAGAGAATAGACTTTAAAATCCTTCTGTTAGTCTATAAATCTCTGAATGGCTTAGCACCTAAATACATCACAGACTTGCTATCAGAGTATCAACCCTCCAGACCACTCAGGTCTTCTGGCTCCAGCCTGCTCTGCAGACCTAGAACCAGAACTAAACATGGAGAAGCAGCATTTAGTTCCTATGCTCCACTTATCTGGAACAAACTTCCAGAAAACTGTAAAAGTGCGGAAAGCCTGAGTTCCTTTAAATCAAGACTAAAAACACATTTGTTTAGGATTGCCTTCCACTGTTCTAGTTAAACAGTTCAACTGAAACATCATTAGTTCAACTTTTTGATTTTCTTTAGTCCAACTGTTTTCAATGTTCTTTTTTGTTTCTGCATTTTTTATTTTATTTTATTTTTTCCTACTTGCTTTGATTCTGTTTTATTTTCCTATATTTTAATCATGTAAAGCACTTTGCATTGTCTTTGTATTGAATTGTGCTATACAAATAAATTTGCCTTGCCTTGCCTTGCCTTGCCTTGCCCATTCTCCCACTCTGCAGAATCTGTTAGTTCAATCTCTAACGTTCTGTTTGTAGCATCATCTGGTCGGCCTCAGCAGATGGCCGCTCACACTGAGCCTGGTTCTGCTGGAGGTTTCTTCCTGTTCAAAGGGAGTTTTTCCTCTCCACTGTCGCTACAAGCATGCTTAGTGTGAGGGATTGCTGAAGAGTCAATGAGTCGATGCAATCAGCTGGTTTTCCTTAGATAGAAAACTTTGAATCAATCTGACTGGATGATCTGGTGAACTGGAAAGTGACCTGAGATGACATGATGGGAATTGGAGCTATAGAAATACACTGAATAGAATTGAATTGATAGTCACCCAGTTATCTGAAGCAGGTGTGTTGAGGCAAGGAGCTCCCTAATGCATGCAGGAACTACCTGGAAACCCACTGCTTTAGATAACTCTACATTGATCTAAAAGAATTAGATTGGTTCACCGATGTGGAAAACAATACAGCGATAGTCGATCAGCTGAAGTCCAGAGAACCAGAAACTTCCTCTGAATATTCGCTCAGCCTCCGCTCCCCCCCGGGTGTTTCGCTGTTCCTAACCCTTCAGAAGACCTCGCTCCCCATCATCCATGAACAGTGAGACGAGTGTTTGTGATGCACCTGGCAGCTCCACTCCTGGCATTGTTCTGGTGTAACTCCTGAACCCAAACAGCCTGGCAGCAGAGGGCCGTCCGCTGCTTTAGTCCAGCCTTAATTTATTCACTGCTGAGTTTAGTGTGAAGGCGACAGGAACGATGAGGGAGCTTAGTTTGATTGGATCCTGAAGCAGCAGATATGAAACCGGAGCTTTGACTGCTTCTTTCTCTGCTTTCTCTAGGACCCGCCTCCACCTGCCCCCCCACTGTCCCTGCAGCTTAGACCTGACCCTTCCTCAGCTCTGGCCTCATGGATCTGGATCCTCCTGCAGGAATATTAAGCAGCATTCCTGGAACCTAATCTCCTCACAGCTGGAACCCCTCGCTCGCTTAGCTCCCGTTTGAGCTCCAGCCAGACGACGTCGTCCATCATGGCGGAGGGGGTACTGCAGGTGGAGATCCCTGACTTTGGCAGCAGCGTGCTGGGCAGCCTGAATGAGCAGCGGCTGCTTGGCCATTACTGCGACGTCTCCATCCTGGTTCAGGGCCAGTCCTTCAAGGCGCACCGGGCCGTCCTGGCAGCCTCCTCGCTCTACTTCAGAGACCTGTTCAGCTCTGCGGCTGACCCCGCCTCCTGCCCCTCCTCGTCCTCCTCGTCCCGGGTGGTGTTTGAACTTCCTTCCTCTGTGACGCCGACATGTTTCCAGCAGATTCTGTCCTTCTGCTACACCGGACGCCTCAGCATGGCAGCCAGCGAGCAGCTGGTGCTCATGTACACCGCCGGCTACCTCCAGATCCAGAACATAGTGGAGCGAGGAATGGAGTTGATGATGATGAAGGCCTCCTCCTCTTCCTCTCCGCTGTGCTGTGACTCTCAGGTGAGGCAGAGCTTGTAGGTAGGAATCCCCCCTGTGTTCACCCCATGAGTCTTTGAAAACTGCACTGTTTCCTGGTCCTGCAGAACCAGCCCACAGCATCACTCCTCCACCACCTGGCTGGACAGGCTGATCTGTTCAGTTTCCTCAAACATAGTTTTATCATGGTCCAACATCTGAGCCGCGGTCTCCTCTGTCCAGGGGACTGTGTCTCAGAAGTCTGGTCCTTCATCCACATGCCAAGTCCTGCCGCCATCTTGTTTCTAGAGGCTTCCATGCAGCTTCAGGGTCCTGACCTTTGACCTGTAGAGTCTGAAGGCTGCATTATACTCAGAAACCAGGTGGTCTGCATGTGTCGCAGTGAACGCAGTTATGCCCCGCCCCTTCCGCAGACACTGTGCTGCTCCTCTCAAAAACTGTAGGAGACCGCAGACAGGAAGCCTCTGATTGGTCAATTCTCCATCCGCTCTACACTATTTCCTGTTTGGTTCCTTACCGGCTGGCTTTGCTTGTCTGACCGCCATTGTGGAAAATGAATGAAGATGGAGCAGCTAGCAGAGCGAGGTGCGTGAGAACGCTGGGACCCTTCTTGCACCTGGACCCCCGCTCTTTTTGGCCCTCACGTCCCTCCGTTGTCCCCCAAACTTGCCCCCATTTCCCCCCCGCCTCGGCCGCATCTAGACCCACAGCTAGTTCCTGGTTGATGGGGTCAAATAATAATAACCACATATTATCCTAGAAATGAGACCAACACAAACACACCAGTTACTTTTCTAGGAAAGGAGAGAAGATGCAGACGGAGAATTCTCCCTCCCTGAATGTCTGCAGTCAGCTCTGCTGGGACCTCTCTGTCCTCTGCCCTTATTATCAGACTTCAGGAGGAACAGGAGGGGTTAGAGGTTTACACATGATAAAGCACGACAGTTCTTTGTGCAGTTTTATTGCAGGTGATGATCAGTCAGCTGCAACCACGCATCACCAAATGGCCCAACCATTTGTTCTCCCCTTTAAGTTAAAACAACAGAACATTCCTAACAGGCCAAAGCCTGTAACTTAAAATAAACGGATAACATTTGCATTTTTCTAACAGTGATTTTCCCTCTGGCGTGGTGGCGTGGAATAACACGGCGCAGACCACGCTTCAATATTCGGCATAAATCAAAAATATCTGCGACAAGCTGACTGCGGCACACTTCTGAGGGAGGGGAACCGGGCCTAAGGTGGTCTGCTCATTTCTCTGAGCTTCCTGTTCTGAGTCTGCGGGGACGTCCCCTCCAGGGAGGGTCAGTGGCGCTCTGAGAGGTCTTCCAGTGGAATCCTCTCAGTCTCAGTCGGATGATGGACCTCAGATGGTTTGGAGATGAGGCTGCTGGTGACCCTTTCCCCCCCTCACCCCGTGTTCACTCAGCCGCCATCATCCAGGTGTCTTCTGTCTCTATTAGAGGGCCCTCCTGTTGATGCGGTAACGCCCACCGGCTCCATGGCGCCAAGGAATGATAGACATCCCTCCTCCTTTAGAGATGGGGTCTGACCAGTGGCAGCTGGGGAAGTTTTCTCCAGGGGGCGCTATAAATTCAAAATAGACGTAAAACAAAAACCAGTCAAACCAGTACTATCTAATCACACCAGTATATTTATATGAATGCTAACAACAAAAAACATAAAAAAACACTTTATAAAAACAAACATAATTTCTTGTCCAGGTTTACTTTCTGTCCTTCTGAGGCTGTGAAGGTAAATCTGTGTTTTCCATGCTCCAATATCACAAACCTAAAATAATAATCTACCAGTTTAATGATGGAGAAACTATTTTTTAATATATAAAATGTTAAATTTCTGTCCTCCCAGTGCAGACTGGGGTTTGAATTTGCTTAAGGATTTAATATTTGCCTTTTTATCAAAGTTTCCGTTTTAATCAGAGGAATTTAAACAGAGATTAACATCTAATGGATGCTGGTAAAACTAGCAGCTGTCTTATAGATGAACATCGTTACCTTTCAATGCTGTTTTAACTCAGACGACCTCAGCGGATGAACTCGGGGGGTTCGACGCCCCGGTGGTGCAGCATCAGCAGGACACGCCCCCCCAGCTGCAGGAGGTCAGTCCCGATCAGCCATCTCTGAGCCCGGAGGCGCTGCTCCTGGCCGTCAGCAGGATCAAACAGGAGAGATCGGAGACTCCCCCAGCCGAGGAGAGCGGAGGGGGGGGAGAGGAGGCCAGGTGAGCTCTTGGTTTTATTTATCAGTTTAGCTTAGACCCTCCCTCTGTGACGCTCTCCTTTAGTAAACTAAGCATAAAGCAGGACAGTTCAGAGACGCAAAGGACAGACAGCCACTCACTCACAGCTGCTTGAATCTGCTGTTTATAGACAGGAAGATGGAGAGAACACACAGACCTAACACGCTGCCAACCGGTGGAGCATGGCGTGGTCCCATTAGCTTGAACACAGAGGATTTCTGTCGATACTCTTTGGTTGTTTCTCTGTTTTAATGTGCGTCAACCAGAAACCGTCAGCTCTTCTTCTGTGTCCATCAGAGCGGACATGGTCGCGGAGCTGCAGTCCTCCAGGGGCAGCACTCTGTGCTACCTGAGTGCAGGTGGAGGTTTGGTTCCAGGACTGCAGTCATACCTGATGGCAGGCGGGGGGCGCTCCAGTCCAGGAGGATCCAGCATCCCCGCTGACTCCCCTCCCTCCCACCCCCCGACTGAGGAGGAGCTGGAAGAGGATTACTACGGCAGCACCGTCCATCCTGGACTCTACCAACATATCTACTGCCACACCGGAAACCCCTTCAGTGAGTTCCATGGGCCGCGCCTAGCATCTGGATGCTAACGACCAGAACCATCAGGGCCGTCTCTGACCAACAGTCTGATGCTACGTTCAGAGCGTACGCAGCAGGAGCAGCTAAAACGCGCCTGCTGCTTCATTTTTGATGCTCGTTCAAGTTTAGTTCAGACGCACAGCTGAAGCATCTTTGCTGCTCGGGGGTAAAGTGGGTCTGATGCGCGGTGGGCGGAGCTACTCTATCCTTTCTCTGCCTGGATCAATGGCAGCTATATTAGCTGTGATCAGCGGGTAGAAAGTAGTTAGAATCTATGTTGAAGTGAGAAAGTCCTCCTGAAAACATGGTCTGTGCAGTCAGTTCATCCAGATTACCATCCTGCCTTCAAAGATTATTTCTCTGTGGGAGCCTCTCAGACCCCCACATACCGGCGCTGCGCTGTCACTGGGAATCCCCAGCAGCAGCTGCCTCAGGCCCGCTCGCCTCTCCAGGGTTTTCCCCTCCTGTTGGTGGCGGCTGGAAGTAGATGTTAGCGTTTTTCAGGTCTGTGCTACAAACTGCAGGCAGCAGGATAATAAAAGCCAACATATTCTGCCGGCAGGTTTCTACATTTGAAGTTAATTTAGGCGTTAATAAACTGTTTCAGAGGAGTGATCATAGCGCTCTGCATCAGCAGTGCTGCGTCTGACTCCCTGCCAGCTCCCAGATCAGCTTCTCTCATTAGTTGATGTCCAGCAGCTAAAGGTCAATGTTTCCAACTCCAGCAGCTGCTGCTTCTGAAGCAAATGAGGCTTCAGGACCTTTTGCTGCGCCTTGATGTGCGTCAACTATCTACTTTGCATGGAAACTAGCTGCTTCTGCTGCCTCTGCTGCTTTAGGTGTGAAAGTAGCATAAGTCTGCACGGTATCCTTTAATCCCAGGGTGGGGGCGAGCCCAGTCCTCTAGAGCTGCTGTCCTGCAACATTTCAATGCATCCCTTTTCCAACACACCTGAAACAGAGCATCTTGTTACAAAGCCTCTGCAGAGCTGAGTGGCAGGGGGGGAGCATGGACACCCCAGTTAAGGTCAAACGGATCTTTAAGGCCAATAGCTTTATCATTAATGGGTCTACAGTCTGGTTTATCCTCAGAAACCAGGTCGCCTGCGTGTGTGTCGCAGTTAATGCAGATATACCCCCCCTTCTGCAGACACCTCTCCAAAATTTGCAGGTGACTGCAGACAGTGCTGCAGACAGGAGGCCTCTGATTGGTCAGATCTCCATCCGCTCTACACTATGCGTATCTCCTGGTTGGCCCCTAATGGCAGAAACTCTGGCTGTAGCGCCGTCCACAGCGCCTGGCTCACCTCGGACTCTATCCCAGACGCTGTGCAGGGCGCTAGTTTGTAGCTCTGTGCGACCGTCTGTTGGTTTGCACCCGAAGCCAAAACATGCAGCGCCACGGCCAGTCTTTGGGGAACTCTCACGGGTGAACTGTGTGTCGTCCGGCGTTGGAGGAAGGGTTGTAGGCAGCGAACAAGCTCGTCAAACCCAAACACGGACGCCCACCATGCTAGCTAGTTCCTCATTGGCCCTCTGGCGTTGTGGCGTGGAATAACAGAGCGCAGACCACGCTTCTATATTGGGCATAGATGAAAAATATCTGCATCATACCTGCAACAGGCAAACTGCGACACACTGCTGCTGGAGAATAACCAGCCTTTAACTCTTAAGGACCGTTGACTAAAGGAGCCGGACATTAGATCCTCCTGCTCTGGGGCCGCAGACATCATAGGAAGGTTTTTTTTCCATGGGTGTCAAACTGGTTCCAGAAAGGTCCGTGTGGCTGCAGGTTTCCTTTCCTACCAAGCAATAGCACACCAGACTCCAGTCATCTCATCAAGTGAGTTCAATCTGAACATGATGACTTGATGAGATGAATGGAGTCTGGTGTGCTATTGCTTGGTAGGAAAGGAAACCTGCAGCCACACGGACCTTTCTGGAACCACTTTGACACCTGTGTTTTATTCAGTGTCTTTCAGGTGAATTTTTAGTCTTATTAAGTTTTTCCACTCTTGACTTTTCATTGGTTTAGTTCAAGAAAAGCTGGAGTTGCTACCCCTCCCATTGGCCAATGAGCGGCGGCCCTGTGTGCTGGTTGGCCGGGATAACATGGCCCTGCCGGCCAGTCTGGTGAGTCAGATCGGCTATCGCTGCCATCCGTCGCTCTACACGGAGGGAGATCCTGGGGAGAAGGTGGAGCTGGTGGCAGGTAGGTTTCATGTGGATTGTCATGGTAGCAGAGCCAAGAGAAAGGTATTGGGTCATGTGACCTGGTAAAATGCTGTGGTATTTTCAGGCTCAGGTGTGTTCATGACAAGAGGTCAACTCATGAACTGCCACCTTTGTGCTGGGGTCAAACACAAGGTGCTGCTCAGGAGGCTGCTGGCCACCTTCTTCGACAGGTGAGATGTTACCTGGCATCTCAGCAAGAATGGTTTATTTTCCTTTACAAGAGGCAGCAGGTTCTGGGCTGCCACACGGCTATGGCTGTCCTATATTAGAACTATTCACCAAGGAGCTTCATTCTATTCAGTTTCTTTCTATAGCTCCAATTCACATGATGTCATCTCAGGTCACTTTCCAGTTCACCAGATCATCCAGTCAGATTGATTCAGTTTTCTATCTAAGGAAAACCAGCTGATTGCATCGACTCATTGACTCTTCAGCAATCCCTCACACTAAGCATGCTTGTAGCGACAGTGGAGAGGAAAAACTCCCTTTGAACAGGAAGAAACCTCCAGCAGAACCAGGCTCAGTGTGAGCGGCCATCTGCTGAGGCCCACTGGGGTTCAAGGAGACAGAAGCAGACATAGAAAAAGAAGCATAGATACAAAAGGCAACTGTCAACCACTGGAAAACAGGCCAAGCTCCAACATCTAGAAACAAAGGTGTTGATGGCAGCAGCACAGCTGATATTTCTCTCCAGGATGGAGTGTCAGGTCTAAGCACCTAAAACATCATACATACATAAAGGGAAAGAAAGAAGGCACAGGGACAATTAATTTATTTTTACTCGCGAGGAGAGTAGGAAGAGACTGCGGAGTTTACAAATCTCTAACCCACTCTGCCAATCTTCAGCTTTCTCCTCGCCATTTATTAAAGTCAGAGGGGGGGGGGTCCCTAGTTACACAAGCTGAGGTTGCGCTAAAGGAATAGAAAACAATAAATACAATTCAATTTGCAGCTTCAGTGAACAGGTCAATTTGCATTTAAATGTCTTGCGGTCAAATAGTCCGAGAACCTCCTGATTCGTTAAGCTTGAGCAATACTTCCTGAGAGTTGACCTATACTCCTTGTGCAACACCTCTCTGGAACAGTAATATGTCACACATTATACATAATTCCAACAGATGGCTATGAACACATGCACATAGCACACAGCTTTATGCATTATTAGCCTGACGTAGTCCAACTCAATTCTAGTCAGAATGAGTCTGATGCTGCTCCATAGAGCTGTGATTATGGGGCGTGTTTCCAACGAACCAGGAAAAAAATGCCTCTGCACTCAATTGGATAGACCTACAACCAATAAGAGCAACGGAGTGCGTGACGTATGTTAAGCCACGCATAGTTGTTGTCAACAAAAATCAAAGCGTGCAGTTGCACGCCTAGAATAAGAAGATGAGCCTTGATCGCGTTTCTCTGTTCCTCTTTTAAAATTAATTTGCTGTCGATATCTTCTAGAACAGACCTAATAGCAGAATCTACTCACCTCAACTCTCCGGCGGCAGCCATTGTTGTTGTCACCCAAGCGCGCTTTGGTCACTTGGTTGATTACGTTACTGTTGATCATCTGTCCATCATCGTATAAAGCCCGCCCTGACAATTTGATTGGATCGCCAGAGGGTGTGCGATAATACTCGCGCTACTATGGAGCAATGCCAGACCGAACTTCCCGACCTCAAACCTTGTGGGCGGGACTAAGTTCGGAATGGCACCCAGGCTAATGCATTATAACACTACACAGATAGATTTATATGCAATTATTCTAACATGGAGTCACAGCCAAACAGGAACAGACCAGATGAAGCTACTATGAGAAAAAGCAGAGAGAGCAGAACGTTAGAGATTGAACTAACAGATTCTGCAGAACATTAGGGTCATGGACCAGAGGCCACAGATACCTCATCTCACCTGAATTCATCAGACTGTTCTTTTTCTCAATATTCTTTCAGTAACATTAAAAAACTGCTTGATCACAGACAAACTGATTGATTATTCTGGTTTCCATAGAAACACTCTGGCCAACAGCTGTGGAACAGGGATCCGCTCCTCCACCAACGATCCGAGTCGGAAACCTCTGGACAACCGAGTGTTGAACACAGTCAAATGTAAGTTTGTTCGCCCCAGCTGCTGCGGGTTTGCTTTCTTGTTCCACACTCTGAAGCATGCCTTCCTCCTCCTCTTCCTCAGTGTACTGTCAGAACTTTGCTCCCAACTTCAAGGAAAGTGAGATGAACGTCATTGCAGCTGACATGTGCACGAACGCCCGCAGAGTTCGTAAACGCTGGCTCCCAAAGATCCAGTCTCTCCTCCCTGATGGCCTCCCATCCTCAGCATCCTCCCACCCCCGTAAGGGGAAGAGGGGAGGAGGAGATCGGCCCAATGGAAGCCCCTTCGAGTTGGACCTGCGGCAGCTCAGCGCCTCCTACCTCGGCCTGGAGGCTCCGCTGTACGTGGAACGCCGTGAGAAGGAGCTGGTGGGAGAGAAGGAGAAGGAGGCCCACCTGCCTCACCTGCAGTTTGCCGGGTCACGTGGAGGAGAAGGAGGGCGGGAGGAGGAAGGTCTGATGGAAGGAGAGGGAGACGGTGATGGGAGGTCGCAGACTGAACAACCCCAAGACCTCGCCCACTCCCTGCCCTCCTCCCTCTCCTCCTCCTCTTCCTCCTCCTCTTCACACCCGTCCCCTCAACCTGCAGAACCGGCCTCCTCTCACAGGGGATTGGCTGACACAGATATGAGGGGGGAGGAGCCTTCTGAAGACAGCCAATAAGCTTTTTAATGCATCTGCCTACCTGTCTGTAAATAAAACAATAGCTACCTGGCTCCACTTCCCCGTCTACCCCCTCCCTGTCCTCCTCGTCCTCCATCTTCCCTGCTACCTACCTGTCTACCTCTAAGTTCGCCTGTCTGTCCCTCTGTCTTCCTATCCACCTGTCTGTCCCCTTGTCTGTCTGTCCCCCTGTCTGTCTATTCCCCTGTCTGTCTGTCCCCTTGTCTGTCTGTCCCCCTGTCTGTCTGTCCCCCTGTCTGTCTGTCCCCCTGTCTGTCTGGCCCCCTGTCTGTCTATCCACCTGTCTGTCTGTCTGTCCCTGTGACTGTTTGTCCCCCTGTCTATCTGTCCCCCTGTCTGTCTGTCCAGCTGTTTTCCTCCTGTCACCTTGTCTATACTCTTGTCTCTCTTCTCTAACCGTCTACCTGTCTGATCTGTTCATCAACCTAACATCCTGCTCACCTGTCTTCCCCTCTATCTCACTTCCTGTCTGTCCACCTGTCTACCTCTCTGCTCCTGTCTTTCCACCTGGCTGTCTGCTTGGCCCCCTGCAGTCCTGCACACAGGCCCATAGCAACATGCCTGACGAAGATGATGATGATGATGATGACTATACTCTCTCTGATGATGACAATAAAGCTGATTGATGATCAAGTTTACTGATTCTGTTTCTGTTTGATATGACATCTGAAGAGTCTCTGAATTTGGCAAAAACATTTAAAGATAAAACAATTCCAGCTTGGAGATCATGAAACAGGGACAGGTTATGTTCCCGCTCCCATTAGAGCGGTGCCTGAGCGTAGCTTGGTGCTAATCTCCACGCTAACTCCGTCATATGATGACGTCTTAGACAGACCGCATATAATCCAAGAGAACATACCCTATACTGCCAGAAGTTTATGTTCATCCGTCCAAATCATATCAATCAGGTGTTCTAACCTCTTCTATGGCCACAGATGTATAGAATCACCTCCATCATACCTACCGCCCAGACAGTGGTGACCGGAGGGCTCGCTCCCAGGAGCTCAGTGAGGTCCAGTGTGGAGCGGTGATAGGACGCCACATGTTCAACAAATCCAGCCCTGAAACTTCCTCGCTCAGCTGTATCATCAGAAAATGGAAAATGTTTGGGAGAGACACCAATTCAGCCGAGTCACTACAATGGCAATAACTTGTGCGATGTATAATGTTGCACCCAGAAGTCAAGGCGAGGCAGGCAGTGGGAAAGTTCAAAGCGTTTATTTAAACAAACAAGAATGCGGGTCTGCTCATCAGCTGCACGGCTAATCTCTGCAGCGATAGGAAGTACAGGTCAGTGACTGGATAGTCGGGCTGATCACGACTTGGAGCGTTCTAAACGGGAGGTTATTCCCCAGCTTACGGCGGGCGCCGCCCCCAGAGTTCCTAGAAAGAGAGAGCAGAGCAGCTGCCAGCCGACGCCGAGCAGCAAGTTTCCTTAAGGGGAAATCCAAAGCCGGAGTCAGAAGACAGGTCAAAGTTCAGAAGCGGGTAGAATCCAGGAATCAGTCCAGAACAGATCAGACTAAAGGCTGATTGATACACAGGAACCAGGTGGTCTGCGTAGGTGTCTCCCCCTCCGCAGACACTCTGCTGCACCTCTCCCAAATTATAGGTGACCGCAGACAGGAGGCCTCTGATTGGTCAAATCTACATCCGCTCTACTCTATGCGTATTTTCTGTTTGGTTCCTGACCGCCATGGTGGAAAACGACTGGTGAAGATGGAGCAGCTAGCAGAGCGAGGTGAGAACGCTGGGACCCTTTTTCCACCTGGACCCCCGCTCTTTTTGGCCCTCATGTCCCTCCGTTGTCCCACAGACTTGCCCCAACTTCCTCACCCGTATCTAGACCCACAGCTAGTTCCTGATTGGCCCTCTGGCGTTGTGGCGTGGAATAACAGCGCAGACCACGCTTCAATGTTGGGCAGAAATCAAACATATCTGCGACAAGCTGCTGCAGGAGGATAACCAGGCCTTAACAGAGCAGACAGGAGCAAAGCGGAACTCAGGATCCACAGCGCAAAAAACTGATCGCAATCAGGAAAACAGAACAAGATTCAGAACACTAGAGTTCATCTCACCAAACTGCTCGAATCACCTGCCGCTGATAAATACCAGAGGAACAAGGTGGAAACAGCCGCTGGACCAGTTAGAGAGGTGAGCAGGAGCAAATGAAAAACCCAATCATCAGCGCTAAAGAACATTAGAGAACTACTATTTAACACCCTGTGCAATAACCTGTTTCTCTATATTTGACAATAACTATATATATAAACAGCCATGTAAACACCCTACTATAGAAAATTAATTTTAAAAAGCTGTCCTATGTGGACGCACTGTTTATACTCTATATATCCCATCATGCACCTTTTCCTTCCTTTGGCACCTTCTTCTTCTCCTTTGACTATTGAGCTGATGGTAAATGTCTCCACTGTGAGATCAATCTAGTCAACGCAGAGTCGGCCTTGTTCGCTGACGGAGCAGATCAGTGGATCCTGAAGCTCATCGTGCAAAGAGGTCACCAACGTTGTGCAGAGCCAATCGTCACACACCTCCAAGCTTCAGGTGTCCTTCAGGTCAGCTGCAGGACAGAGAGCTTCATGGGGTGGAGCAGCTCCACCCACGCCAAACCTCAGCGAGTGCAACGCCGTGCAGGGAAACACTGCACCACTGGACCCCAGAGCAGTGGAGACGCCATCTTTGGAGGCAGGAATCACGCCGTAAATCTGATGGACCAGTCTGGGTTTTATATTTACAATTTAAAGGTTTGACAGAAACACCTTTAGATCATTTAGTCACATTAAAACAATAAAATATCCCAGTTTTGATCTGAAAGCTTCCACATGAAAGAACTCCTCTCCTTCAGACCAACGACTTAAAGCAGATTTTTCTGCTTCCTCTACTGTGTGAGTAATAATAATACTAATAATGATGATCATACATTTAATTTGTAATGCATTTAAGAAAAAACTCAAAGTGCTACAGGTAAAATCATCGTACACTGGAAAAACGATCTAGAAATAAAATAGAATGAGCATTTCTGCTCTTAAATAAGATAATTAGATAAAATGCACTTGAAAGAAGACAATGCAATTGTGTTTTCTTATTTTAAATGTAAAATAAGAAACTCCTCAATCCAAGAAAAAATGCAATATTTAAAAAAAAGACTTATCTTGTTATTACTTATTATTTCTTTTTTTTTTTTTTTTTTTTTTTTTTTTTTTTTCTACAGTGTCCTGTCTGGCAAGGTGGCAATAAGAATAATTGTCTTGATGCCAAAAGGAGCCCAACAGATTTTACTTTCACAAGTGGAGCGGTATCGCAATTGCCATACCGCTCCACTTGTTTCATGTATATAAATTGCTTTATTATAATTATGCAGGGAGTTTTACAGTTCATATGGACACTGCAATGTAAGTAGAGCAGAAAAACAGAAGAAGAAGAAGGAAAAAGAAAAAGAAAAAAACAGGACAAAAGATGAAAGAAAGAGGAGATAGGAAGGAGACAATGACAAAACATTTTCAGTCTGCTTCAACACCTGCAATGAGATGGAGAAAAAAAAAAAAAAGAACAGCACAACCAAAAAACATGGTACGAGATATACAATAAAGCAAACACCTTGAAACTATCACTAAAGTAATATTATTAAGTCTGACATGTACTCTGTGTTACCTGAAGATATGAATGTGGGGTTTCTGTTTGGAAGTGAATCTCTAAGTACCTGAAGCCTAGCACCTGTAGTTGTTTGTGAGGGTGAACTTGTGCATGTAAAGTTTTAACCATAGAAAAAAATGCTCAATAGTGGTTGTGGAGAGCCGGAGAGGCACACCCCCCAGAGCACTGAGTCCAGCGCCGGGAGACCCAAAGCCCCAGGCGCCCAAGGGGACCCCAGAAGCGAAGGCACCAAGGCGGGGCCAGCCCCGGAAATCAGACCCCACCAAGGCAGGAGGAGAGACAGCCACGAGGAAGCCCCCCAGCCACCGCCATGCCGGCGCCCCGGGGAGCCGCGGGGACGAGTCCGCGGGCCCCGCCGGCAGCCGGCCACCCCGAAGTAGGGCCGGGCGCCGAACACCAGCCCCCCCACGGCGCCGACCGAAACGCCCCAGCCCCACAGAGCACCGAAACACGCCCCGCCCCCCCCGCACCAAGCCCCGGCGACCGGCCGCAACACCCACCGCGACCGCACCACCCAGGAAAACACTAAGACGGCCCCGCCCCCGGCCGGGGCCCATGCGCATCCGCCGCGAACCGGCCACGAGCGCCGCGGGACCCCCCCCCAAAACGCCCCCCCGGCCAAAAGCGCAGCCCCCCCCCACCAAGACCGATGCCAACAGCGCGCAACGAAACACACCGCGCACAGAATCAGCCCGAGAGCAGAAAAGCCGCCCGGCGCAAAACCGCAAGAGGAGCAGACCGCAGCCGGCGCAACCACCCCCCCCAGCAGCCCGAGGGGCAGCACAAAGCCAGAGCGGAGCGAACCGCGCCGCCCCCCCACCGGACGAAGCCAAAGCAGCCCAGCCACGTCCGCCACCCCCCCCCGCAGCCCGCACCAGGCCCCGACACGCGGCCAGAGCAGCTCCGCCGCCCCGGCCCCCCACCACGCGCCGGTCATAGCCACCCCAGGCCCACACCCGCCCCGCAGCCCCACCCGCCGCGATCAGTGGGAACAGAGCAGCCCCGCCATGCCTCCAGGAGGGAAAACCCACCCGAATACCCAGCCAGCGCAGCCAGCCCGCCCAGACCGGCCCCCCAACACTACCCCCCGCCGGAGCCGCCCGGACCCCCACACACCAGCGGCGCGCCGCCAGCAGGACCCCCCCCCCGCAGGCCCGCCGGCCCCCCGAGAAAACAGACATGCCAAACCCCCCAAAGAAAAAAAGAGAAGAAAAAAAAAAAAAAAAAAAAAAAAAAAAAAAAAAAAAGGGGCCCCCACAATGCGACAGCGGACACCAGACACCGACCCGCCCGCAACCGCTCCCCCCCACCGAGGAAGAGAAAAAAAAAATAAAAAATAAATAAATTACAAATAAATAGGTAAATAAATAAATTAATTAAATTATTACTTATTATTTCTAACTTAAAAAGTTTGGTTATTGTTCTATCCATTTTTCAGACTGTAATAATCAGATAAAAGGAGTGAATAATATTTTATGGTTGGTTATTTAGTTTTATTTGCACTAGGATATTCATTAATG